TCAGTCCTTTGCTCAGGTGATCAATCAATCCTTGACTGTGCCTTGAGTTTGACCTGAACCCCACCACAATTTTTATCACAGATTTACTCTACCTAAATTTGTGTAACTTCTCCCTTCCAGCTCCCCTTGCAAAGAGAACTCCCTATGATCATCCCAATCTCTGTATTTACCCACTTTCTTTGCACTGTACTCACCAATGGCTTTTTTTCTCCGAGAAAGTGAAGAAGCGACAGAAACTAAACAGTAAATGCACATTTCTCCCCTCAGATTCCCATGCAAAAGCCAGCATGTCTTTTGCTGCTCCAAGACGAAAGGGGTAGAATGCATGGGACTTGTTATTACCACAGGATGCAATTGCTATTACTGCTACTTGCTTTTTCTCCATTAGGAAGTGTGTAGATGTATTTTTTAAAAAATTAAAATTAATTTTTTCTCATCTGCTGAGATTTCCTAGATAATCTTTCAGGTAGAAATATTCCAGATCTATCTTTGTAGATATTTGTGGGTTTTTTTCATACAGGCTGTTTGCTTTCTTCTCAAATTAAAGTTACTACTTCTGCTCCCAATTTCACTGACTTGCTGTAATAATTCTAGGCCTTCCTTTCCTCTTTCACCTTTTTGTCTTCTTTCTGCTCTCCACACACTTCACTTCTTTATGCTGTTCCTTCTCGAGAGTCTGCTGGGCTCTGACACTTTAAACACTTCAACCCTGAAACAAAACCTCCTTCAGGGTTTCAACTGCAGCTTGTTCATCTTGTCAAGTATTTCTAATGTTTGTATAGAGGAAGGCTGGCTGTTGGCACAGCTTATTCCAGCCTCCTCTCAGCTTCCAAGCTCTAGATCCAGCTGTAAATTTTTGTTCACTGATTGTAAGTAACAACAAGAGCAAAGTATACATCGAAGGACAAAGCACAGAAGCCAGATTTCTCCACTATTAAGGATTTCTCATGGACACTTTGGCATTTTTGCAAATGGCAGCAGATCATGAAACTCCTACATATACATAAGAAAGACCTGAGGAGTAACAGTTCTCACTGTTGTCAGGCCATTAAAAGCCTGTGCTTGCACACCCCCTTTATGTGTGTGTGTTTACCTACAAGTAAGCAGAAACCTGAAAACTTGAGAATGTCGGAGTCTTTTATCAGGAGCAGAAAGAAACCAATTATATCAAGTTAGCCCTTTTACCAGAGCCTAAGATCATCACCTCCTGCATATGTAGAATCATAGAATCACAGAATCACAAGGTTGGAAACGACCTGCAAGATCATCTGGTCCAACCCCCCTCCCATTCCTATCAGTGCCACCAGCACTAAACCACATCTCGCAGCTCCTCATCCAGGCGCCTCTTGAACGCCACCAGGGACGGCGACTCCACCACCTCCCTGTGCAGCCATTCCATGCCTGACCACCCTTTGAGAGAAAAAGCTTCTCCAAGTTTCATTTCTTCACCACGGACGGGGGTAAACGGCCCCTCTTTGCTCAGCAGTCTCCAGGTCTCAGCGGTCTCACAGAAAGCGATCTCTTCCTACTCCTTACATAAAATTTTCTGTAGAGGAAGTGTATGACAAAGCTCCTATAACATTACTTACATCCAAAAGAAGTTTGCAAAAAAAGTTTTCTTTGTTAAAAGGCAGAAGGTAAGCGCAAGAGTTACAAAGAAACAAAGCATTTATTGTTAAAAGCTTTTCTAACACTCACTCATCATCATACAGTGAAGACACGATGGCTACAGAATAGATGGAGTCTCTCTTCCATCTCCCCTCATGAACATGTTTGCTCGCTCACAAATTCACAGCTGTGTTTTTTAAATGGAGTACTTTTCTTCAGTGAGATTGGGAAAAGAGTTGATGATACAGGATCTGGTAGAACAGGTACATCCTATTAAACAACAGAGCAGTTACAGAAAGGACATCTCTTTCTTCAGGAAAAAAAAGTGTCTTCATTTCCCCTTCATCTCTTCAAGCTGCCATAAAAAGGGTTCTCAACACAAACAGGAAAACAACTCAACACCTCACTACTGCTTTAGAAAAATGTGGGCTTGTAGCACATAATACCAACGCTTTCACCAGCTTCAGCAGAACAAATTCTATACAGTGTGCTATAAAAGGCTGTCAGCTGAAGCCACGCACGCACTGGAACAGCTAGTGCTGGTAAGTGGGACAGCCAAATCCCCACTGGTAACAGTGCGGAAGGTTTTGGCAACGAGCCTCCGAGGTGACACACAGCACTGCGCCCTGCGTGCCCGCTTCCAAGCCGCGTTCCAGCTGAGGATGGCTCTCACACCTGACCCCGACATGGATGCCCACATACCCACACGCACGCAAAATACACAAAACCGCATCAGCTGTGCTATTTTCAGCAATGCTCTGCACGTTATCCTGTGCTTTGTCTTAACGGCACTTCAGTGGCACTCTGCCCCCATTTGTTCCTTTCTTTTACAGTCGTGCTATTCTCCTCTCTATCCTCGTATTTTTCTTCCACAATCAAACATTTGCTTTTCCTTTAGCTGTTATGCCAGCATTTCAGCTTCAAGATACATTTCCCTTTTATTGCATTCCAGAAATTTTTAACACTGTCCTAATTTTGTGGTATGTTTTCTAACAATCTATATTATCACCTATAAACTAACTACTACTGTGCAGATTTATTTGCTCTATTCACTTTTGTGGTATGCACTTACTTGTATTGTATTGTGGTAGAAACCAAAGAAACCCAAAAATTTTCTCGCCTTTTTCTTTTTCAGCCAAAAAATACCATTGTCTCGAGACTAAGATGAATTTATTTTTCAAAATCTGCTGCAATTACATGCCTGCTCATTACCAGTAACTTTCATTTTTACACGCCTAAGCTGCACTTGCTCCAGTTCCTACCAGAGCTGTTCCATTGCTTCTCCTCAAATACAGTGTCCCTTTTTCCAAAAACCCACCCCGGGACGATGACAACGGCCCAAACTGCTTCTACGCCCAGGATAAAACTATCAACATTTCAGGCGTGTTTTAAGCAGAAGGACGACATCTGGCGACTATTCCTCGGACTCACCATTGGGGAGCAGTCTTTTCATGTGCAGTTGGAGCACGGACAGCAGAACGTAAGCAGGCGGCTTTTCTTGCTGCACCGACCCACGCAGGAGCAGCACACGCCACGCTCCGCACACATTTCAGTGCAGCGCTGCTCTGTAACACAGCTGCAGCTTCCCGCGGTGCTGTTCTGGCTCTGCTGGGCAGCAGCAACACATTACTTACATTAATTTGCTCCAAAAAACCCATCCAATTAATTAATTCTAAGGAGAGATTCTAGGAGTAGATTAGACTCAGTTATTTTGCCAGCTGAGGCACGTAAGTGGAATTTCTCTGAAGGCATATTTGCCACTCAAATGACAATGTTCTCAAAACCAAAAGCCCCTGGCAGATGGCACCTATCCCAGCTTCATGCCCTTCTCACATCCCTACTTATCTTTTTCTGAATTTATTATTCCTGGAGATCAAATGCATCCCCTGAATGTAGCTGCTCTGTTTTCCACATACAGAAAATAATTTTACACTGGACAGCATGCACACAACTGACACAGCAGCGTAACAGATATGGAAGCACAGTAACAGATGATCCTCGCTGTTTTCCTTCACAATTTTCGCTTGTAGTGCAACTAGCAGAGTCCTACAGCAAATAAGATTTAAAGTCATTAACTGTCTGACAACCTCTCAGCCCCTACCAAGACTCAGTTTAAGACTGCTGGATTTCAGGTTTTAGTGTAGAAAGGGTTTTTAACTAAAATAAAATAAAATAAAATAAAATAAAATAAAATAAAATAAATCCAAACCAAGCCATTCCCAGGAAAAGGCCTTGGGCAAAGAGGTGCAGCTGTGCTTTTTCTCACACCAACGTTTTTCCACAGTGTTACTGCCAACAAATGACTGCAATCAAGCGTGAATTTTCTGAGACACCTCTGGTCACAATGGGCAGTGAAAGCCGTGGCACTGGAAACATGTAAGCAGATGTGTTCAACGAAGCACTGGGAGGGAAGACTTGTGTCTTCTGTAACTGGACAGAAGAAACGTTTACATTCAAATCTGAAAGAATTGGCAACGACAGCAGAAGAGGACTTTAGCATAGCAGAATTAAATACTTATAAGAGCTGCCTCCATTCCTTGCACACGTGAACTTTCATTTCAAGAAAGTGAAAGAAGGGAGATGAAGAGGAGCAGCCTAGAAGAGGATATGGAGTGCTACATCATCAGGACCCAGTTACACTTTGGCAGCTGCTTTTTGGACCAGCAATCATGTTGGTTCGTTAATGACAAACTAATTTATGCACTACAGAAAGCAGGACGGGGGGAAGGATTTAATGAAGATGTCTCTGCTCCCAAGTCAATCTGGTGTAATTCCCATTGTCTGAATTTGTCACGTATTTGCAAAGAAGGTGGTTTCCATGGGGTTTCTAAGGCTGATAGTGCTTCATAATTCAACAGCATCCTATGTAACCAACGCAGAGTGAATGGGAGAACCGAATGATCCGTAGGAAAAGGCAGATTACCTATGACTGAAGACCAATCCAGGGATTCTGTTAAGTGAAGCAAAGAGAAAACTGCCACATTACATGAAGTTAAGTTTTTTGGATTCTGAACCAACTTAACAATTAGAGAACTTCTTTACAGTCTCGATCTCCAGTGGCACACAAAGAAAGAAATGCTGAAGTCATCTCCTGTTTTGCCCATAGGCTTATTGTTAATATCTGCTGTGTTCAAGGCAGGTATCAGCAAAGCACCATTAGTTATTTGCATTTTCTTAGGTTGCCTTATTTCTTGCTTCAACCTCTGTTTCACTAACCCACTGACACTTGAGAATGCTTAAGAGGCTTTCACTCTGGAAAAAATTTCTTCCTCTCAGTATGGCACACTGATCATACTCATGTGATACAGAAACCTGTTTGCCTTTCATTGCACTGGCAGGGAAACGAAGCGTGTTACAGTTTGCAAAATAAATGTCCAGAAGAGCTTTTCATCTCAGGAATGAAAACTCTCCTAGTTTATTATTTTACACAGCATGATGGCTCCTTGCACTGTAATGAAAGTTCTATTCAGGAATATAAAGCATTCCACAACTATCAGACTATCTGTTCTCATTCCAGAGAAGTTACTATTTGAGACTCTTAGGTAACACAGGATGAGAGTTACCTTTATTTCTCTAAACCTGTAGTCTTTCATAACACTCAACTCAATTTCTCCCATCAATACCATCCGTGATTCTATGCATAACCCATAAGGATTTGCTGCGTAGCGTCTGAACTTTCCACTAGAACTCAATGATGCAAGTCGATGAATTAATCTTTAATCTTCTTTAGCACTGACACCTGTACAAAGCATGGCAATCTTCTGCTATCTATGGCCTGGAATGATTTGAGACACCTCCCATGGGCGCTGTTTTCAAGGGTCACTCTAAAGCTGGCGTTCTGGCTGGTTTGTTGATGGTACATTCCCAGCCAGTCAGGAAGCAGGTCCATGTGTAACAGTGAGCTAAGTAACACTGGGGAGTCCACTTGTTCTGTGGTCATGATGCCAATGTGATGTTTTGAGCAATGCTTATGTGTTGCGCACTCCCAGAGACTGTTCCAGTTCCTGTCGGCGCTGCTGAATCTGAAAGAAAAAGAGAAACTGTACAGTTCAGCAGATTCAATTGTTCAGAGACAGGAAGATTCACTTATGAGCCATCAGTGTGGCTACCTCCTTCATACCTTGCAGTAGAAATATCTGCTCACAGCCTCTTGAGACCATGGCTCATGATAAAATTCAGCTCTGCGCTCTTCTTCTGGATTTCCAACTACATCAGTCATCACCTGTGACAAAAATAAAAATACTTTTCACTATAGCTACTCTCCCATGTAGAGAAATATTAGATTTACCTGAGTCAAAACTTATCTGCACTGCTACGTTAAAAATATTCAGGGCTGACCTCTAAGCCCAAGGCAAACGGACAACAAATGGCATGAATGGCACATGATGATAACAGGCCAACTGTGAACAGCCCCAACCTCTGCTCCAGAGCAAGTAAGGAGTAATTCTGCTGCCCAAGATAAGTGCTGCGGATCCCTCACATTTTAACAGCAGGGAGAACACCAAGCTACAGCTCTATGTATGCAGCTACAGAAGCCCCACAACACCTTCGTTCGTGAGGTCTTCCAGCTGGAGGTGTATTTGAACATTCTTTTAGATGTCTATTCCCCTTCTGAATATAAGTAATCATCAGAATCTTGACAACAGATCTCTGGAAGATTATTGATTAACAAAGTAGATATTTATATGTGAAGGACAACTCAATAAAATAATTTCACGGCTTTATTGATATAACTGGTTTTGAGGTGGCAGCCTAACTGGTCTTTCCTGCATACTTTCTGCTCTGGGATAGCAGCATTACACTCACTGTCTTCTTTTCCACCAATTTTCTATCCTGGATGTTTTAGCCACATATGCTATACACATCTAACTATAGTTCTGACATTCTTGTCCCACTCTTCAAACCATGGCTCACCTTAAGATCCCTACTTTGGGACCGGAGAAGGTCTTGGATGTATCCTTTGGGATCTTTGGAGAAACTCAGCATGAAGTCACGTTGTATTTTTAGCTGATTTATGGATTCGATTGTCTCATGAATCTAAAAGAAACAAATAAGCTAGGAGTTACTTAAATCCTCGCATGCTTCCGCAATCCCAAGGCCAGCCCCACCAGCGCCTTTGTGGTTCTTGTAAAGTGCAAAGGTGACAATTCTACACCAAGGACCCATGAAAGATCCCACTGAATTTTCCCTTCAAAGCAGGAGTTAGCCCTCATCCTCAAATCGCATCTTGTTTTCACATGCATTTCTGCAATACAAGCATATTCTTCACCTCCTGCACTGAACGGCTGGATGGCACATACATACAACACTGAGGAGCCAAGTCTCACCCTAATGCAATGATTTCCGGTGTATAAGCAGGCTTTTCACCAACTCAGAGATTTTTCGGTTAAGGCACTCTATGAGTATGTTTTCAAACACTGTCCAATGCAAGAAAGCAGTTACTTCTCTGGTTAATCATCATTATACCTTCAATAATCTGCTGGGATGCTCGAATGTTGTGCTAGCGATTGTCTGATCAAGTCCATGTCAGATAAACTTACATAACAGCTACGACTTCTAGATTTTTTTCTGCTGAGAAAGCCTACTGATGTCATTATGGCTGCCAAAAGGAATGTGAACAATGAGAAACTGAGAGCATGAAAGATTTATAGAAAATGAGTCATATTCTCAAAATTATTATGAAATAAGTGAACAGTAACCAGCAGGGAAGAATGAAGACTCCAATGAAGAGTCAGGGACATATAATTATCCTGGATAACAATATTAAATATGATCATAGTTAATGAACTATTAGCACACGTACAAACAGAAACATTTTGTTACCTTGTTCCACCAAAATTCTAGCTTGAAATTGTAAATTCCTCTCTTTATATTTCTTGTATAAATCTATTTACCAAAACAGCTAATGTGGTCAGGCACATTGGGAGAAACATCCATCTTCTGATATAACTGTGCCACCAAGTCCTCTATTGTGGACACAACTGTGAAGTATGTTAACAGAAGAGAGCTGCTTTAAACTTCAAACACTCCTCATTTGGGAAAATGATGCAGCCATCTAGAGGGAAACCTCCCATTGCATGCAGCAAGTTCCCTCCAGATGACTCTGTGGCAGCACAGCAACAAATGGTACAAACAGAAATACAGAAGTCAAGGCCTGCATACCCAGAGGTGACCTCAGTAGCTACACTAATCGCAGCTTGTGCTCTGCTGCAGCAAATGCTCAATAAAAGGTGGTAAAGATGTCAAAAATGGGGAGCTGCAATGGAAACAATAATCCTCCAGGCTGGGAATTAACTATCTGAGCAGCTGTTCTGCTGAAAGTGATCTTTTACCAGAACCCATAGGACCTCTGGTGTTTAAACCACCTTTAAAACAGTGCATAGGCAGTGGTTGCACATGGTTAGAAATCAACAGAAAATGGGCTGGAATATGTGACACAAATCATATCTGTTCTGTTATATCACACCTTCTGTTCCCTTGCCCTGGGAAGCCACTTTCATGTCTCTCTTACCAAGCCAGATCAACCATTTCTGCGTGCACCCGTACCAGCAGCGCTCGAGACAAGAATCCCCAGCGCCTGCAGAGCTCACCACTGCTGAGTGCGCGCAATTCTCATTTGATAAACGGGCGCAACTCTGCCAAACTCTTCCAAATGATTTTTCTTCCACTCATTTTCTACCACTGCCACCAGTGCAGCGAGCTGCTCTGCAGCAGTGCATGTACAGCACACACCTGAAATAGGAGATTCCCCTAGCTTTCTCACACATAAATTTAATACCTCACGACATCTCAATAAAAATTTACAGTCAAACAGATTATACGACTCTTGAATACACTAAAAAAGAGCAGTGCTGAGCCGGCATTCTGAGTTTATTGTCTCTGCAAATTCTATAGGAGGCATTCATTCTGGAAAATCAGCTAGGGCAGAACGACTCTATCTGGACTTCTAAATATTTCTGCATTTGAAAGTGCTCTCTACAGTCAAAAGAGATCATGACAGTACAGTCACACAGCAGAGACCACGGAATAATTAATCTCAACCAAAAGCAGACATCGCTATCCAATCAGTTGCACAATGTACAAGAGATTTTAAATTGTTCAAGGGCTAAGTGTAATGCAGAGTATCTGTTTGGCCAGACAGTCCCAACATTTTAGCTGCTTTTTCTTCTTCTCCAAGGTAAAAATGTAAGCACCCCGTTCAGCTCACTCGGAAGTTGTGTGAACATTACCAGCCCCGCTGTGCCCAAAGTCTTTGGTTCACTCATCTCTGCTCATACTCTGCAAAAAACTGCTTCCTTCAACCCATCCAAATATTAACTCAATTCTTTGCCTCCTTCTCTTTCTCATCAGCATAAATCAAAAGCAAATTATTTTTCCTCACCGATTTATTATCACCACTATTAAGACCTCAATTAATGCCTGTCCTTGAGACTCTTATAGCTCAAAACATGCCATCCATAATTTAAACTACAGCATTAATCTTTCTTTGCTCACTGTATGCTGTATTTCTCCACTTTCCTTGCATCTTACTTCACCTCATCTCCTGCCTATTCAGGCTCGTATTTCTTACTCCACTATCTTATACAGCAATCCCGTATCATCACCACAGTCTTGTGGTGTCTTTAGGCACTTCTCTGCCCAATATTCATGTACAGGGAACAAGTTAGATTTATATTTTCAGTAGTCAATGAGAGAAACTTGTTATCTCTCACTGACCTGCTCAGAGTCTACTTTGGATAAGATTACTTTCACAGAGTCGCCGAATGGTTTGGGTTGGAAGGGACCTTTAAGATCATCCAGTCCCAACCCCTCCTACAAACAGGGACACCTCCTGCCAGACCAGGTTGCTCAAAGCCCCGTCCAGCCTGCCCTCGACTGCCTCCCAGGAAAAGGCATCCACAGCCCCGCAGGCAATCTGCTTCAGTCCCTCACCACCCTCACCGCGAGGAATTTCTTCCTAATATCTAGTCTACATCTACCCTCTTCCAGCTTAAAGCCATTTCCCCTCATCCTGTCACTACCTGCCCTTTTAAAATTCCTCCCCCAGCTTTCCTGTAAGCCCCCTTCAAGTACTGGAAGCCTTGTCTATTCCAGGCTAAAGAGCCCCAACTCTCTCAGTCCCACAAGGGAGGTGGATTCGATGGCCAGGGACATCAGAACCACAGAAATATAAGGCACTGGTGGACACTGGTGCACTGTGCACTCTGATGCCCTTGAGTCACCAAGGGACAAAATCAATTCATATTTCTGGGGTGATTGGGGTTCCAAGAGTTGATCGTGTTGGAGGCCTCCCTTTCGTTGGCAAAGCACCCTATAGTGACTGGCCCAGGGGCTGCCTGTATACTTGGCACTGATCACCTGAGAAGGGGATACTTTAAGGATCCCAAGGAGTATCGATGGGCCTTTGGAATAGCTGCTGTGGACACAAGAGGTGTTAAGCAGCCGCCTGCTTTGCCTGGCCTTCAGAAGATCTGTCTGTTGTGGGGTTGCTATGGGCAAAAGAGCAACAGGTACCAATTGCTACACAAACGGTGCACAGGCAGCAGCACCGCACCAACAGGGATTCCTTGCTCCCCCTTCATAAGCTGATTCGTCAGCTAGAGAGTCAGGGAGTGATCAGCAGAACCCACTTGCCTTTTAACAGCCCCATATGGCCAGTGCGTACAGCCAGTGGAGAATGGAGGCTGACGGTGGACTACCGTGGCCTGAATGAAGTCACACCCCCACTGAGTGCTGCTGTGCCGGACATGTTAGAACTCCTTATGAACTGCAGTCAAAAGCAGACAAGCGGCACGCCACCACTGACATTGCTAATGCCTTCCTTTCCATTCCTTTGGCCACAGAATGCAGGCCAGTTTGCCTTCACCTGGAGGGGCATTCAGGATACTTGGAACTATTTGCCCCAGGGGTGGAAATGCAGCCCAGTTATTTGCCATGGGTTGATCCAAGCTGCACTGGAGAAGGGCAGCACTCCTGAGCACCTGCAGAACATTGATGACATCATTGTGTGGGGCAACACAGCAGGGAAAGTTTTTGAGAGAGCAAATAATCCAGATCCTTCTGCAAGCTGGTTTTGCTAGTAAGCAAAGCAAAGTGAAAGGACCTGCCCAGGAAATTCTGTTCCTAGGTATGAAGTGGCAAGATGGACGTTGTCACATCCCAATGGATGTGACCAACAAAATCACTGCCATGTCTCCGCCCACTCGTAAGAAAGAGACACAATCGTTTCTGGGCGTAGTGGGCTTTTGGAGAATGCACATCCCAAACTACATCCTCACTGCAAGTCCCCTTTATCAGGTGATGTGGAAGAAGAATGGGGCCCTGAGCAGCAGCAGGCTTTTGAGCAGATTAAACCGGAGATAGCCTGTGCTATGGCCCTGGGGCCAGTATGAATGAGACTGGATGTAAAGAACGTCCTCTGCACTGCTGCTGGAGAGAAAGGTCCCACTTGGAGTCTGTGGGAGAGAACTCAGGAGAGACCCAAGGTCGACCCCTGGGATTCTGGAGGGGGTCCGAAGAGGGCTACGCTCCAACTGAAAAGAAGATCCCAGCCATGTATGAGGGGGTTCGGGCTGCTTCTGAAGTAGTCGGCTGTACTGAAACACAGCTCCTTCTGGCACCTCGACTGCCAGTGCTGAACTGGATGTTTAAAGGCAAGGCTCCCTCCACTGCCCTACCGATGCCACTTGGAGGAAGTGGATTGCGCTGATTACACAACGAGCGTAGGTGGGGAACCTCAGCCGTCCAGGAATCTTAGATCATCTTAGCAGTGGCCTGAAGGTAAAATGTTGGAACATCAATGGCAGAAGAGGTATCACATGGTGAAGAGGCCCCACCATACAATGAACTGCCAGAAAATGAACAGAAATTTGTCCTGTTCACAGATGGATCGTGTCATATGGTGAGGAAGCATCGCAGATGGAAACCTGCTGTGTGGAGCCCCACACGACAAGGTGCAGAGACCACTGAAGGGAAAGGAGAATCAAGTCAGTTTGCAGAGGTAAAGGCTGTCCAACTGGCTTTAGATATTGATGAATGGGAAGAGGTGGGCAATGCTTTATATTTACTCATGGGTGGTGGCAAATGCCTGATGGGGGTGGTTACAACAGTGGGAACAAAACTGGCAGCGGAGTGGTAAACATATTTGGGTTGCTGAATTGTGGAAAGACATTGCTGCCCAAATGAAGGATGTGGTTGTAAAGGTGCGCCATGTAGATGCCCATGTGCACAAGAGTCAGGCTACTGAAGAACAGCAAAATAATCATCAGGTAGACTGAGCTGCCAGAACCGAGGTGGCTCAAATAGACCTGGACTGGCAACACAAGAGTGAATTATTTCTAGCTCACTGGGCCCATGAGACCTTGGGCCAAGGAGGAGATGCAACATTGGGTGGCCTTAATTATAGATGGTATTGCACAGCTTATTCTGTGCAATATGCATATATCATTATATATGACTGTGAAGCATGTGCCACAATTAAACAAGCCAAGAAGATGAAACCTCTCTGGGAGGAAGGCTGATGGTGAAAGTACAAATGTGGGGAGGAGTGGCAGGTTGATTGCACCACCTTGCCACAATCTCGCAACAGTAAGCGCTATGTGCTCACCATGGTGGAGGCAACCACTGGGTGACTTGAAACATATGCAGTACCCCATGCTACCGCCCGAAACACCATATGAGGTCGGGAGAGGCAAACCATGTGGTGACATGGCACCCCAGAAAGAACTGAATGCAATAATGGGACTCATTTCAAAAATGTACTTGTGGATATTTGGGCCAAAGATCATGGGTGGATTTATCCCCTATAGTGCACCAACTTCTGGCAAAATCAAATGATACAAAGGATTAAAAACCACGTTGAAAGCAATGGGTGGTGGAACATTTAAGCACTGGGAGAAGCATTCGGCAGAAGCCACCTGGTTGGTCAACACTCAAGGATGGGTCAGTCGAGACGGTCCTGCCCAATCCAGCTCTCTACATACTGTAGAGGGAGATAAGGTCCCTGTGGTACATGTAAAAAGCACGTTGGGAAAAGCAGTTTGGGTCTTCCCAGTTTCTGGAAAGGGCAAAACTCTGCGTGGAACTGTTTTTTCTCAGGGATCTGGGTTCACTTGGTGGGTGATGCAGAAAGATGGGGATGTTCAATGTGTACCACAAGGGAATTTGATGCTGGGGGATGCATATATACACGTCACAGAATCACAGCATGGTTGGGTTGGAAGGGACCTCAAGGATCACGAAGCTCCAACCCCCCACCAATGCAGGGCCACCAACCTCCCCATTGCACAGCAGCCCAGGCTGCCCAGGGCCCCATCCAACCTGGCCTCCAACACCTCCAGGGATGGACGGGGCATCACAGCCTCTCTGGGCAGCTGTTCCAGCCCCTCACCGCTCTCACAGCACAAAAATTCCCTGACATCCAACCTCCAGCTGCCCTCCCTCAGCTCCAAACCATTTCCCTCGTCCTGCTGCCATCTCCCCTTGCACAGAGCTGACTCCCCTCCTGGCTGCAGGCTCCCTTCAGGCACTGCAGGCTGCACTGAGGTCACCCCGCAGCTTCTCTTCTCCATGCTGAACAAGCCCAGCTCCCTCAGCCTGTCTTTGTAGGGGAGGTGCTCCAGTCCCCTGATCATCTTTGTGGCTTCCTCTGGACCATCTCCAACAGCTCCCAGTCTTTCTTGTACTGAATGTGTACTCATGTACATGAATACACATGTACACATGTGTCTGTGTATATATAATTATACAAATATATATAATTATAGATAATATAATACATATATATATGTGTGTGTGTATAAATATATATGTGTGCATGTGTTTAATGTTTAATGTTGTATGCGAACTGCTGAGTCACGGCCTGAACCCCTGATTGATCACCTGAGGCAATCAATGAGTCAGGCAGAGGAGCACAGGTGAAGGCAATTCAGCTGTGCTGCCTGGCTCCACCCCTCCTAGACCTATTTAAGAGCTGGCTACCAGTGGGGTAGGATCTCTTCTGGAGTTCTGCTCTGCTGGTATTTTGTGAGTGAGCCTAGGATAGGGGTAAGCCTTCTATTTGTTCTCTTTTGTTATCATAATCTGCTTTGCCTAACTCTCTTGTTTATTTTGTGATTATAACATCCTAATATTCTTTGATTATACAAATGTATATATGAAGCATGATGTAGTGATGTGGAGTAAGGGGTCGAATGCCATGGGTTTATGATTTTTGGTTATCTGTATTCCATTTCGTAACATCATGGAGTGCTTTGAGAGTTAAAGAGTTGATACTCCAGTTCCAGGTAGAGAAGAACTACATCCCTAAGAGGACGGAGAACTGTCAGCTGTTCTGTTAACACTTCTGCTCAGAGCAAAAGGTAAAAGCCATTTGTAGGTCACTCAATCTTCCCTTTTTTGTTCTCGGTAGCGTGTGAGCTCCCTAGATCATCTTGACTCAGCAGTAGAGCAAGGCGTTTGGCTTTTAGACTCTCTCATTTAATTGTTTTATTAGCTTCAGTTCTTCTATGATGTTGTCTCTGGCTGGATAGATGGGGGAAGAGGAGTAGATGTAGTCTACCTTGATTTTAGAAAGGCATTTGATACTGTTTCTCATGACATCCTTATAACAAAGCTGAGGAAGTGTGGGGTAGATGAGTGGACAGTGAGGTGGGTTGAAAACTGGCTGACTGGCAGAGCACAGAGGGTCGTCATTGCTGGTGGAGAGTCTGGCTGGAGGCCTGTAAGCAGTGGTGTTCCTCAGGGGTCGGTGCTGGGTCCGGTCTTGTTCAACATCTTCATCAATGACCTTGATGAGGGGATGGTGGCCACCCTCAGCAAGTTTGCTGATGATACGAAGTTGGGAGGATTGGCTGACAGCCTGAAGGCCGTGCTGCCATTCAGTGAGACCTGGACAGGCTGAGAGCTGGGCAGAAAAAAACCGGATGAGGTTTAACAGAAGCAAGTGTAGAGTCTTGCATCTGGGGAGGAATAATTCCATGCACCGGTACAGGTTGGGGGATGAGCTGCTGGAGAGGAGCTCTGAGGAGAGGGACTTGGGTGTCCTGGTGGACGACAGGTCGGCCATGAGCCAGCAGTGTGCCCTTGTGGCCAAAAAGGCCAATGGCTTACTGGGGTGCATTAAAAAGAGCGTGTCCAGCAGGTCGAAGGAGGTGATCCTCCCCCTCTGCTCTGCCCTGGTGAGGCCTCATCTGGAGCACTGCGTACAGTTCTGGGCTCCCCAGTACAAAACAGACAAGGAGCTCTTGGAAAGAGTCCAGCGGAGGGCCACCAAGATGGTGAGGGGCCTGGAGCATCTCTGCTATGGGGAAAGGCTGAGTGAACTGGGTCTGTTCAGCCTTGAGAAAAGAAGGCTGAGAGGGGACCTGATCCAAGTCTATAAATATCTGAGGTGTGGGGGCCATAGTGGTGAAGCCAGGCTCTTTCCAGTGGTACGTGGAAACAGGACAAGGGGAAATGGACATAAGCTGCAGCATAGGAAGTTCCGCACAAATGTGCACAAGAACTTCTTTAGGTAAGGTGACGGAGCACTGGAACAGGCTGCCCAGGGGGGTGGTGGAGTCCCCTTCTCTGAAGATGTTCAAGTCTCGCCTGGACACCTACCTGTGCGACCCTGCTTTGGCAGGGGCTTGGTCTTGATCTCTGGAGGTCCCTTCCAACCCCTACAATTCTGTGATTTAATTCCAATTATATTTTTTCATATTGTATTACTTTGCATTCCACTACCTTATTTAGTAAATTTGTTGTTTCTCCTCATATTGTTGCAGCTGTTTTGGTTTTAGGCCCATCTCTCTAGGGGACTCTTTTTCCCATTTCCCTTTCCCAGGGTGTGGGTCCCTGGGACCCCATCCCGGCAGTCGCAGAACCAGGTTGAACCATCCTTTAAGCTGTTGACAGGGTCAGACCACAGCAAGGTAGCAACTGGGGAACCAGGTGAGTCTCAGCCAGCAGTGTGCATATGTGTGCACTGGTGCTTGTGTATGTCTGTGCCTCTGTGTGGACATGTACACTTGTGTGTGCTTGTGAGGCTACCTGTACCATCATTTGGAGTAAGGCTGCAGCCTTGAGGGCCTGAATGGCCAGGCAAATATTAGCAAACAGGGAGACTTGGATCAAGAGACAGATAGCAGAAAGACAGTGTCCAAGCCCAGTTGTCAGTAGGACACATCTAAAAATTCACTGGAAATTAGCTGACTTCCATTCTGCTCAGCTAGAGATGGATGGCAATGAGAACATTTGTGATCTTTGTGTTCATAAAAGAGCTCTGTAACTTCCTCTTTTGATCTGTGTTGGTGGCCATGTGTGTTACATAGAATCATAGACTCATGAATGTTGGAAGAGACCTCTGAGACCCTAAAGTCCAACCCCAACCTATCCCCCCCCATGCCCACTAACCATGTCCCCAGGTGCCACATCTCCATGGTTCTTGAATACTTTCAGGGATGGTGACTCCACCACTTCCCCAGGCAGCCTGTTCCAATGCCTAACTACTCTTTCAGAGAATAAATGTTTCCAAATATCCAACCAGAACGTCCTCTGGCACACCTTGAGGCCATCACCTCTCATCCTATTGCTATTACCTGGCAGCAGAGGCCTACTCCTACCTCACTCCAACTTCCTTTCAAGAGTTGGTGAGAGTGATGAGGTCCCCCCTGACCTCAGCCACTGCCCATAAGACTTGTATTCCAGACTCTTCATCAGCTTTGTTGCTCTTCTCTGAATGTGCTCCAAGGCCTCAGTGTCTTTCTTGCAGTGAGAGGCTCAAAACTAAACAGGATTGCTAAACCACTCTCCATCATCATTGAAAGATCTTGGCAAATGGGAGAGGTGCCTGAAGACTGGAGGATGGCCAGCATCACTCCAGCCTTAAAAGAGGGCAAGAAGAAGGATCCAGGAAACTACAGGCCTCATCTCTTCCCTGGAAAGGCGATGGAACAATCTGTTCTGGACGCCATCTTCAAGCAATTGGAAGACAAGAAGGTTATCAGGAGTAGTCAGTATGGGTTCACCAAGGATAAATCATTCTTGACCAACCTGATAGCCTTCTATGATCTCATCACTGGCTAGGAAAATGGGGGGAGAGCGGTGAATGTTGTGTACTTTGACTTCAGCAAGGCATCTGACAGCCTCTCCCACAACATCCTTGTTATGAAACTTAAAGTATGTGGGATAGATGAGCAGATGGTGAGGTGGATTGAAAACTGGCTGACTGGCAGAGCTCAGGAAGTTGTCATTAGCAGTGCAGAGTCTGGTTGTAGGCCTATAACTAGCAGTGTTCCCCAGGGGTCGGTGCTGGTTCCAGTTTAATTCAACATCTTCATTAATGACCTGGATGAAGGGATAGAATGCACCTTCAGCAAGTTTGCTGATGATACAACACTGGGAGGATTGGTTGTCACACCTCAAGGCTGTGCTACCATTCAATAAGACCTGGACAGACTGGAGAGTTGGGCAGGGAGGAACATGATGAGGTTTAACAAAAGCAAGTGTAGAGTCTGACACTTGGGGAGGAATAATTGCATGCATCAGAACAGGTTAGGGGATGATCAGCTGGAGAGGAGCTCTGCAGAGAAAGACCTGGGGGTCCTGGTGGGCAACACATTGGCCATGAGCCAGCAGTGTGCTCTTGTGGCCAAGAAGGCCAATGGGGTCCTGGGGTGTATTAAAAAGAGCGTGGCCAGGAAAGTGAGAAAGGTGACCCCTCCCATCTACTCTGCCCTGGTGAGGCCACATTTAGTCCACTGTGTCCAGTTCTGTGCTCCCTTGTTCAAAAAAGACAGAAATCTCCTAGGAGTCCAGCAGAGGGCCATAAAGATCATAAAGGGCCTGGAGCATCTCTGCTATGGAGAAAGGCTGAGTAATCTGGGTCTGTTCATCCTGGGGAAAAGAAATCTGAGAATGAGTCTGATTAATGTTTATAAACATGGGAAGGAAAGAGGGAGGCAAATGGATGAGGCCAGGCTCTTCTTCATGGTGCGTAGCAATAGGACAAGGAGTAATGGCCTAAAACTTGAACATAAGAAGCTCAGTATTAACATGCAGAACTTCTTTAAGATAAGGGTGATGGAGAACTGGAACAGGTTGTTCAAGGAGTTGTGGAGTCTCCACCTGCGCAGATATTCAGGACTTGTCTGGATACCTATCTGTGAGATGCACCTGCTTCAGCAGGGGGGTTGTATTCAATGATCTCTTCAAGTGCCTTGCAGCCCCTGCAATTCTGTGACTGTGATGTAAACAGTATCAAGGTACGGCCTCACCAGTGCCTAGAACACAGAGGGATGATCACCTCCCTTCTCCTGCTGACTGCATTATTTCTGATATAAGCCAGGATGCCACTGGCCTTCTTGGCCACCTGGGCACACTGTTAGCACACTGTGTTCAGCTGGCTGTCAACCAGCACCACCAAGTCACTTTCCTCTGTGCAGCTTACCAGCCACTCTGCACCAAACTTGCAGCAATGCATGGGGTTGTTGTGACTAATGTGAAGGACCTAACACTCGGTCTTGCTCATCTTCACCCCACTGGCCTCAGTCAACTGATCCAGCCTACCCACATCCCTTTGTAGGGCTTTCCTATGCTCAGGCGAATCAACAATTTTTCTGAACTTGGTGTCATCTGCAGACTTACTGAGGGTGCATTCAATCCTTTCATCCAGATCATCAATAAACATATTAAACCCCCATCAGCACTGGGCCCCAATACTGATGCCTGGGAAATATCACTTGTTACCAGCTGCCAGCTGGATTTAACTCCATCTGCCACTACTCTCTGGGCCCAGCAATCCAGCCAGTTCTTCACCCTGTAAAGAGTGTACCTGTCCAAGCTGCTAGCTTATCCAGCAGTACTGCGGGAGACTGTCCTGGTTTCAGCTGGTAAAGAGTTGATTTTCTTCATAGTGACTGGTGTGATGCTGTGTCTTAGCTTCAGGAGAGAAACAAGGTTGATAATACACTGATGTTTCTAGTTGTTGCTGAGCAGTGCTGTACAAAGCAAAGGACATTCCAGTTCAGGTTCTCTTATTGCTCTGCCAGCAAGAAAGCTGGGGAACACAAATAGCTGGGAGAGAACAAACCAGGACAGCTGATCTAAACTGGGCAAAGAGATATTTGTAGAATCATAATCATAAAATCATAGACTGGCCTGGGTTGCAAAGGAGCACAGTGCTCATCCAGCTCATCCTGCTGTGTGCAGGTCGCCAACCAGCAGCCCAGGCTGCCCAGAGCCACATCCAGCCTGGCCTTGAATGCCTGCAGGGATGGGGCCTCCTTGGGCAACCTGTGCCAGTGCCTCACCACCTTCTGGGGCAAAAATTTCTTCCTCGTATCCAACCTAAACCTCCTCTGTCTCAATTTAAAAATACCATATGACATCATGTAAGAAAACTATAAAGCTGAGCAAAGTTGGCTGTGGGAGGCCAGCTAGGCATCAATCAGCGGGTGGTGGGTTATTGGTTTGTACATCACTTGTTTTGAGTACATATATATGTGTGTATATATATGAAATTATTCAATTATCAGTACTGTTATTTCCCTCTTCCCTTTCTGCCCTGGTATCTCTACCTATGAGTTCTATTTTTTTTTTCCAATTTTCTCTCCCCATTTGACGGAGAGGAGAGGGAGTGTGAGAAAAAAGGCTGTGTGACATTTATCTCTTTGCCAGGTTAAACCACAACAGAGACAGAGTCAAAGGCTTTATGAACTCTAGGTCAGGCTACATCAAAAGCCTTTTCCTCATCCATTGGGGGGTTACCTGGTCATAGAAGAAGATGAGGCTGGTCAAGCAGGACCTGCCTTTCATGAACCCATGTTGGTTAGGCCTGATCCCCTCGTTGTCCCACAGATGCCGTGTCATCTCTTTCAAGATGATCTGCTCCATAACCTTACCTGGCATTGAGATCAGGATGACAGGCCTGTAGTTCCCCAAATCATCATTATGACCCTTCTTGTAATTTGGCATCACATTAGCAAGACGTACCTGGTTGACCAGGACTGCTGATAAATGACAGAAAGCAGCTTGGCAATCATCTCTGCCAGCTGCTTCAGCACCTTGGGTGGGTCCCACCCAGCCCATGGACTTCTGACAGCACAGGTCACTAAATGACTTGCAGGGGGTTTATTCTGCTCTTTATCCCTGTATTACAGTTCAGGAGGCTGAGTATCCTGAGGATAACTGGTCTGATATTAAAAACATAAGAAGACACTGAGAACCTCAGCCATTTCATCATCCTCATGGTAATATTCCCTGCCACATCCAATGAAGGATAGAGATTCTCCTTGGTCCTCCTCTTGCTGCTAATATATTTATAAAAACACTTTTTATTATCTTTAACAATGATTTTTTTCTGAGTTCTTTTCTTTCTAATTTTTCTCTCTGCAAATATGTGTACTTGCAGTGTATATGGACGCACATGCATCTGTGTGCACTTACTGGGAATACATGCTCAGCCCTGCTGCTGGTTGGATTTGCAGTAAAGGAGCTGCGGCAGCCTCTCAGGCTTTCAGGTCCAGCCTAATTCCCTTAACACACACCTTGGAAGACCATAATCGATCCACCTCATGTGCTCTGAAGTGTTTTTAGTTGTAAACAAGCCTTGTTAGTTTCCCACAGAACACAACAGATCTACTAAATAGTTCAGAGGGTTCTGAAATCCTATAGCATGTGGAGTGGCCCGCACTTTATGGCGCCTGCCAGGGGATTCATTACACTGTCTGTGAAACTCTGCTTCTATTACCCTGACAATGATATCAGGCCCTGAATCAAATCCTAACATCAAGCTCTGCTCACTTCACTGTATTTCCATAGCATGTGACTTATTCAACCCTTGAAAGCAAATCCAAATGAGAAATCCCTTTCTCACATTACTCTCTTTGATGCATGGCACCAAAGCCACATGGAAGATAGACAATATATATATATATATATGCCATGTGATACTTTACTCCTGGACCAGTACCTTGTTGTCCAATGCTGTAATCTCCTGTTGGTTAGCTGTTGAGAGAAGAAAACTACTCATCTGTCCCTTTAATGGGTCTTCAACTTCTACATCTATGTCATAACAAGCCGTCTTCTTCTGATCATTGGGGTCAACACTACAGAGAGGATAATAGAATATTATAAGAACTGCTGTAATGAATCAGAGTAAATACCCATCCAGATCCATATCTAGGATATATTTTCTGCAAAGGACTGTTGCAGATGCTGGGAGAAGAGTTTAAGAACTGGTTACCTATATATACATGCATATCCTAGCGTATTGTCTTATCTTTCATCAGTTAGAATTCAGACTTTTGAGTCAGAGGTTTTGTCCAAACTATAAACTTTAACAGCTACTAATGCTCAATCTTAAATTAAATTGCCTCACATTTTCTGAGAACAGTTATAGCTTCAGCCTCCGAAGTAATTTCCAGTTGTAAACAACATTTCAATATCGTTTCTGTTCCGCTGCATCCATTTAGGGTAAGTAAAATCGTACACTCACATTCTGGATGTGAGCACTTAATTGGTTATCAGTTCCAATGCTAATTATTGAGTTGGAGGACATGACTGGGGGAGCAGTGACTTCCCACTTGAAGTAGCTGAAATTGTAAGAGATAAGTTGCAAAAGTTAAACGTTCTGGGGGCCTGATGGGATTCATCTCTAAGCACTGAGAGAGTTAGTAACTGGACCTCTATCAACAATTTACTAAAGGTCTTGGGATACTGTGGAGATTTCTGTTCACTGGAACACAGTGTTATAATGATCTAAAAGAAGGTCAAGAGAGAAGACCTACCAAAAGCTACAATCTAATCTCAGTACATGAAAAAATATAGAGAAGAGTTTCCTAGGTACTATCAAAGGATATTTAAAAAACAAGGATGTTATCAGGCATAGTCAACACGGATTCACAGTGGGAAAAGCCTGCCTCAGTAACGTGATCTCTTTGTACAATCACATCACCGCTCAGTGGGTCAAGAAAAGGCAGAGGTTGTAATCTCATTGGCTTTTAGTAAGGCCTTTGATACCGTCCCTCACAGAATCCTTCTGAGCAAATCGTTGAACCATGACCTGAGTAGGGTCTCACTGGCTGATGAAGTGGCTGAACGGCAGAGCTCAAAGAGCTGTAGTGATGTTGGCTACATGATGATAGCAGTGTTCCCTAGGTCTCAATTCTAAAGTCAGTCTTGTTCAACACGTTTATCAGTGATCCAGATCAGGAGTTGAACGCAGCCTCAGGAAGTTTGGTGACAATACTAAACTGCGAGGTGCTGCCAACTCTCTTGAGGGACGAGAAACCTTGTAGAGGGATCTAAGTAGATTGGATAATTGGGCAATTGTTAATTGCATTACATTCAGTAAGAACAAATGCTGGTTTCTGCATCTGGGATGGAGGAATGCCAAACAAGTGCAGATTGGAAGATGAATCATGGACAATAGCAAAACTGCAGGGTCTGGAAGGGACCTCCAGAGATAATCTAGCCCAGCCCCCTGCAAAGCAGGCCCCCCATAGCAGGCTGCACAAGTAGGTGTCCAAGCAGGTCTTGAATATCTCCAGAGGAGAATCCACAACCTCCCCGGACTGCCTGTTTCAGTGCTCCACCACCCTTACTTGTGAGGAAATTCCTTCTCATATCGGTGTGGAACTTCCTGTGCTCCATTTTATGGTTGTTTCCCCTTGTCTTGTTGCCTTGTCCTCACAGACTGCTGAAAAGAGCTTGGCCGCATCTCCTCAACTCCCACACTTCAGATACTTATAAACATTAATTAGATAATCAAATGATTCCTCAGTGTTTCCTCCTAGCAGAGCTTTTTCCAGACCATTCATCACCTACGGGCTCTTTCCAGATTCTCCTGTATGGGGGAGCTGGGAACAGGACAAAGTACTCCAGATGAGGCATCACCAGGTCTGTGTAGAGAGGAAGGATTACTTCCCTTGTTCTGCTGGCCATGCTCTTTTTAATGTACCCCACAATACCAATGGTCTTCTTGGCCACAAGAGCATATTGATGGTTCATGGTCAACCTGCTGTTCTCCAGGGCTTCCAGGTCCTTCCCTGCAGAGATGCTTTTCAGGATAGGATTCACAAGAATGACACAAAGCTGCACCAGGGGAGGTTCAAAGTAGGAGACAGACACCTCCTGGCTAGCTGGAAATGTGCTGGTGGACTGGAAACTGGCAAACGTGACGCCCATCTTCAAAAAGGGCAGGAAAGATGACCCTGGTAGCTACAGACCTATCAGTCTCACCTCGATGCCAGGGAAGATTACGGAACAGATAATCTTGGGAGCCATTATGAACCTATTAAAGGTCAACCAGAGGATCAGGCCCAGTCAGCATGGGTTTACGAATGGTAGATCCTGTGTGACAAACCTGATTTCATTCTATGACAAGGTGACCCACTTAGTGCATGAGAGTAAGGCTGTCGATGTGTTTTACCTGGACTTCAGTAAAGCCTTTGACACTGCCCCCCACAACATTCTTATGGAGAAGCTGGCTGCCCATGGTTCGATGGATGTACGCTCTGCTGGGTGAAACACTGGCTGGATGGCTGGACCCAAAGAGTTGTGGTCAGTGGAGTTAAATCCAGTTGGCTGCCGGTCACAAGCGGTGTTCCCCAGGGCTCAGTACTGGGCCACTTCTCTTTAACATCTTTATTAACCATCTTGATGAGGGGATCAAGTGCACCCTTAGTAAGTTTGCAGAGGACACCAAGCATTGATGTGCCTGAAGGGAGAAGGGCACTACAGAGGGACCTGGATAGACTGGATCAATCGGCCAAGGTTAACTGTATGAGTTTCAGTGGGGCCAAGTGTCAGGTCCTGCATTTTGGTCACAATGACCCCAGGCAACCCTACAGGTTTGGGAAGGAGTGGCTGAAAGCTGCCTGGTGGAAAGGGACCTTGGTGTAGTGATGGACAGTCAGCTGCTGATGAGCCAGCAGCATGCCCAGGTGGCCAAGAAAGCCAATGGCTTCCTGGCTTGGATTAGGAATGGCGTGGTGAGCAGAATGGGGGAAGCCATCTCTGCTTAAAAACTATTTGGATGTGGTGCTCAGGGATGTGATTTAGCAGAGGGCTGTTAGAGTTAGGGTACTATGGGTGGGTTGTGGTTAGGCTTGATGAGCTTTAAGGTCTTTTCTAAACTGAGGAATTCTATGACTGGAAACATTTCTTCACTATCAAGGTGGTTAAAGACTGAAATGGGCCTCCTCGTGAGGAGATTGATGCCCCATGTCTGTCATTAAAATAATGCTCTCATTATTGCACTTTAATTTCTGGTTAGCTGTAAAGTGGTCAGGCATTTGAATTAAATTATCTTTCTAGGTCTCTCCAATTGAACTATCCTAATTTCTTAATTTTCATATAAAGCAAATCACCTTTATCTTGATGCCTGATAGATTCTTCAAAAAACACAGCCACTCATGCCTTCCTGCTACAGAAGCTATACTGATTTTTCCCAAATATATCACATTTATCACACACCTATTAACTTCATCCTCTTTTATAGTTAGTATAATTTGGCTTCCAGTATCCAGGACCGATCTTGGTGCATCTGAATCTCTGGGCACAACAAAGTGACATTCTGGAGTTAAGGCTCACAGGGAGCCTCAAGGATGATGGGGGGCTGCAGAACGTGCCTGCCCAGAGAAGCTGCCAGAGCTGGGTTCATCCAGCCCTGAAGAAGAGACCTGGGGAACTGACTCGATGGATGGAACTTTTTAAGTTTTTATAACTCATGACTGTAACTAAAAGGGATAAATAAACATCAAACAGGTTCACAATACAAGAATATTGAAGAACTACATTTTGTAGAACATTTGTGTAATGTTAAGAGGTGGCTTGCTTCTTTGCAGAAATGGAAAATGCTACCTGTAATTTCAGATATGAGAGCAACAAAGAATAGCTCTAGCTCCAGCTTAGGCTCACATAAGAAGATTTCACTTCTGTGAGTTTTAAATCTGATGCATTCAGTTTTGCATAGTTCAGAAACTATTATCCACTCTTTTTTGTGGCATCCTCTTTCAGGAGATGTACCATATAAAAAAGTATTTTTGCAGATTATAATCTTTCTGTTCATTTCTATTTAATTTCCACTTCATTCTCACTTCATTTTTTTGTTGCTTTCTTTCTCAAAAAGTAGGGATGGTTTGTATCTGAACACTAGTTCTAAAATGCTACAATGAGATTAGAATAGCTCCTGTTTTCATCTGTGTGCATCCTAAAAATCTAAAATGAATAACTAATCTAGGTGACCTTCCTGTACAAGACAGGCCTAGAGATAAATCTGAAGAGCACATATATTTAAAATCACCAGCAATTAAGGATCCCTGGCAGCAGCTGGCTGCTGTTCCAGTGGTTGACTACACTCACTGCTAAGAATTTAACTCAGTGAGCAGGAGAAAGGGTCTGCGAGTCTGTTCAAAGCCAAGCTGGACAAGGCCAGCAGAAATGCGATGCGATCCGAACCAGCTTTGAGGTGGTGGTGGGGAAGTCTCAGATGACCAGTGTTGGCTTCTACGTCATTCTGCAATTTCAGCAGTCTAAATCTACTTACTGCCATTACATTCAGTGCCAAACTTCCAGATATTTTTTCTTTTGCTGAGACTACCAGCATTACATCACCCCCTGAACAAACATCTCCTCTTCTAGGCGAATTAACACTTCCCCCATCCACAGCCTGATCTCACTATAGCATAATACTGTCCAGTTCTGTGTGGTGCACAGAGTATGTCAGAGAACACTGCTGTACACAGCATCCTCCTCTTCAGCTTCTAGCTGGAGGAAGTTATCTTGCCCCCGGGACTTCTTTGCCAAAAAATACTGTCAGTTAGTTCCTTGCCATATTTTTCCCTAGATAATGACTACGTGCCTCTGAGGACCTCAGCTTTTTCTTTTTGCTCCATCAAAAGGTCAAAATCATCTTCAGTGACAGTACATACACAGTTATCAACTCATACAGTGGTCAAAAGCCACTTTTAGACTGTTTTATATGGTCAAATTAATTGAAAAACAAGTTTTATTTTTACAGCCTTTGTAACTTTAAAATTTCTTATCACATATATTACAGAGTTGAAACAAAAAATCATTTTTAAGCACATTCAGGAATATTTGTTGTCAATATTCCGTAGGAAATTAACTTCCTAACCTCAGTTAATGGTAACATTTAAATACTCTGAGTTTTGACCAAGACTACAAAGGAACTTAGAAGAGACTGAAGTAGCCAACAGCAAGTTTGCAGTTCTCAATCTCTCCTCTCCTCCCAAGTTGTCACTTAAGTATGGAATGTGCTGGATGTGCCCTACATATATGTAAAGCTGTATATTAACCATGCCAAAAATATGCCTGTTTTGGCAAGGATTCCAGGAAGTTCACTGCTTTGGCTGCAATAACCTTCACTGAATCTTGTCATTCTTTAGATTAACTCTTTAGAGGATCCTTGAATAGCCTGCCTTCTTCAAGGAGGACTAGCACCCAAACCAGCTGATCCAATCCCAACCAAGCATGCAGACTGGCCACTGTATCTGAAGCCATTATACTGTTGCATATCTGACATAATCGGGTGGTTAGAATGAATATCTGTGATATTTTAACTCCCTTTCCCCCCCCCCCCCAGTGGATTCAAACTTGTTCTTCTCCCATTAGGAAGGAAATCCAATCAACTCTCAATATTATTTTAGTATGGATAAGAAGAGCGAGAAGTTTTGCACTCTCCTATAGAAATGGTGCCACTCCGCTGAAATAATTCCGAATTACACAGACCAGAACATCAAAGAGAACAAACACATGAAGTCCAAGGCTCTGACCAGGATGTCAGAAAACCTGGATTCTGGTCCATGCGACAGCAGCTGCTTCTGCATTCATGCACTTTGCACCTGACAGTGCTGAGCTGATGGCCAAGCTTACCTGATGATATGGTTTATTACGATAGGATCTGGTGGCAGCAGCAAGTTAGTCAGTCTCTGAGGGATTTCAGAAAACTTTAGCCGTGGGCAGTCAAAAATCTGGAATACAATGAAGCCTGTTACCCTCCAGAATCCAATTTGCAGTTAAGAAAGTAAACCATTGGTTCAAAGGTAAGGGGATTCTGTAAGCTGTAATTCTGTCCCCTGGCCAAATACCAGCTGTTACACTTTGCTCACAAACCCTCCCTTTAAGAGCTTTCAAAATAAGCGAGGTATCCCAGAAGCTATGGAAAAACAAAGCCAGGTAAGGTAATGATAGCTCATACATCATCACTTGTACTAAACTGATGTAGCCTTATTTACAGAAAGCATGGAGATCCCTCCAAGCATCCCTTGTGGTTAATTCTAGAGGTTGTTGTGACAGACAAAAAGTCTTAGTGTGCTACTTTCAAAACAGCATGCAGACCACTGAGAGCATCTTAAGATTTGAAGCACGTTTAGGAAGAAGATAGCTTTTCTAATCATGTCTTTCATGTCTTCTGCCTTTCTTAGAAGGAGAAAAGAAGGGATGGAAAAGACTCTACATATGATCTGGTATTCAGAAGCAGCAGACTTTATCATGTCACTGAGATACCATCTTATGCTAAGAAAAAAAACCCAAACAACTATAAATCAAGACAGTGAAAAAGAGCTTTTCTTCCTGGAAAGGCTTTTGTGCAGGTCATAAACCATCAGATTCCTGATAACACTGGCAAATGGAGGAGGTGCTTACTTCCATTATTTTATGAGTTGTATGTCAGTGTCTGTTGAAAACCATTCAGTACTGAAGACTGCAAATTATTAAGCAAAAATTCAGAAATTTTGTTCCATCAAAAGTTTGCAGATGGATATTACAGAGCACCTTGAAAGAGACACCGTGTCCAGAAAGGAATTACCTGCTGGAAGTACTTGTCACAGTTAATGTATTCCTTATCATGGGAATCTTGCAGCTTATTTGTTTTGATGTACTGCCACAGAGCCTGGATGATAGCTGATCGGGTCTGCGTGTGTATCCCCAGCAAACGGGCCAGCCGTGGGTCCAGTTTGAACTGCGGAGGCTGCAACACAGTGAAAAGGAGGGAGATGGTAACAGAGAGAATAACAGGCACCTGCCCAGATAGAGCTTCAGCTTTAGTTTTCTGAGGACTTTGTTCCACACGTGAATTGCCCCTTTCAGCGGTGGAAGCTGCATGAACAGAAATTGCTCAGATGTGAATCCATGGAATGACGATGCCTAGTGCTTGAAAAGGAAGAGGGACACCATACATGTGCTGTGCAAACCAGCTACCTGCATCACGTGCTGCAGACAATGAGCTGCACAGTCAGAAGTTTCTCTTTACTTTTTATGCAGTTTGGCTTTAGGGACCAGAAGACAAAAAAGAATGATCCTGCCTCAGAACTAATGGAGATTAGCCACAAATTGAGAGCATGAATTCAAGATGACACTTCTGCTCTTCCTAATAATCAATCAGCTGCCTCCCATCAACAAACTCCGTTGGAACTCTTTTTTCACACATGCTTCCAAAGTTCCGCTGCACATCAGGAACTGCACCTGGTTACAACTTGTCAATGGAATCTATTTCTCCTGACTTCTGTGGTACAACTCCTCAATTGCCCTGCTTTACATTTCCAGCAATATACATTCTTTAGGTACCCTGGCGTCTGGTGCCTCTTCACAAGTGCACTCATGCTCATGTTTAATATTTGCCACATTTTTCTGCATTGTTGGCTTTCAGGTCACCCAAAGTCAGATTTATAACAAGACAAAACTCCAGGTAAGAAAACATGCTTAAAAGCATAAATTTGTACTAATGGTGATCATAACAAACTCTAAATTTATTTTCCTAACAGTCAGGATAGCAGCTATATCAGCACCTCAGTTAGGTCATGCATTCTCTAAAATTAATAAAACTGTCTATTCTAGGAAGACTAAAGACTATCCTAACTTTTTCTCCTTTTTGTTTGTTTGTTTCCTGTGACTGGAATCAGGAAACTAATTTGGAAGTAAGCTTTGCTAGCTCTGAAGTGAAGATCTCTTATCTTATGTCTGTGTGCAGTACAGACATTTCCAGTATAGAAGGTATTACTAATAAAAGAGAGGAATCAGGAATGCTGAAACAGTGCAATGACAGGTCTGTCCCACTCAGGGCAATGTTTTATGCCAGATTAGAATGACAGCGTAACACAAATGTAATAACCTCAGAAAGCTGTGCAGTCTGCTCTGCTGCTCAGGTACCTCCAGCAAGAGCCATTCCTTTGAAACATAGCATACAGGAAACCTCCTCTTCATGGGCATCTCACCTCACTATTTAGCAAGAAGTCTGAAGAGGCAACATATATTCTTTCTGCAGGTGATAGTAATCATCATCATGCCAAGATGAGTTTTTTGCCAGATGATAATAGAAACTCATTTGATGAGCTCTCTTAATATTTTCCCTAATCTGGCAGTTCAGTATAACTATAATCTCTTTGGTCAACATGACATTCCGAGTCCACATTAATTATTTCTTGATGAACGTGATGGGATGAATTTACTCTGCTGCAGCATGCCCCAACGGTGCATTTTCCATGACAAAAGCACACACTGACCTGGTAATCCAACATGAGGAGTAGCGTGCACCGCACACTGACATCACCAGGTCTTTTCACCTGGAAGCCATCAGTCTCCTGAGTTGTGGGAGTTCTGTGCCACTGCCAAAAACAAAAATCAATCAATCAATAAAGCCAATTAACGCGGTCAGCCTTTTTTTCCCCACTGATGCAGAAAATTCTGTGCGCCCATCAATGGAGCACCTTGCACAGCGCTCCAAGCAAAAATAAGACAAGCAGTAAGCCCTGGAAATCTTGTGATTAAAAACCAAACCAAAAACCCCACATCGTTTCTTGCTCTGCCCTCACAAGGCTGTTTCAGCTCACAACCTGCTTGGATGCTAGTATGCTTCACTTGTCAGAAGTGTGCACACTTCTTTTTCATTACACGAATTCTTAGAGGCAAACCACATCACCACTACACCTGTGATTTCAAACTGCATAGATTCTGTTAGTAAGCACTCCAAAAAAGAACGATATTTTGAAGCTTCTGAAAACACCATGAGATAATAAACTCGATGTAACTTAAACAAGGTAGGTAACGGGCACGTAGCTGTTTGTCTGTGTTAGCACAGAGTATGAATGCAGAGGCGCATGAACTTCCTACCTCCACAAGATGGTTGTCAGGTCCGTAGAGATCTTTGTCCAGTTCAATGACTAAACTCTTAAAAAAAGATGAAAACTTCCGTTTCTGTTTGCTGAGCTGTATAACCAGAAGAAACAAATGTTTCAGACTGCATGTAGTAGCCTGTGTTACGTGCTTTCTTCTCAGGCTCTCTTCTCATACAGATCACAATTTCGCCCGGTCTAATCGAGTTTCCCCTCTGACAAATGCAGAGAAACGTGCCAAAATCCAGCAGTGGTAGAACAGTACAGCAAGGGAAAAGTCTTCCTTGACTGTGAACAAGGTCACTGCATCCCTTTTATGTTTGTATTTTTTTCCATAAATGCCAAATTCTTTGTCTAAATTCTCAAACAGCAGCAAGTCTTACAGATTAGTCATACGCTAAGTGTCTCCTTTTACATTTTGCCTCTTCATCTAATCAGTAGTATTTGCTGTTTGCTCTACAGTTCATATTGTCTAATTAAAAAGCTGGGAGGTCTATCTCACTTTCTGGGCAATACACTCCACAGTGCTTCTTTCAATCATAGAATCACTTGAGTTGGAAGGGACCTCTGAAGGCCATCAGGTTCAACTTTCCTGCTGTGAACAGAGTCACCTACAGCTCCACCAGGTGCTCAGAGACCCATCCAGCCTAACCTCAAACATCTCCAGGGATGGGGCACCCACTTCCCCTCTGTGCAGCCTGTGCCAGTGCCTCACCACCCCTACTGCAAACAACTTCTTCCTAATATCCAGCCTTAACCTCCCCTCCTTTAGTTTGACACCATTTCCCCTTGCGCCATCACAGCAGACCTTGCTAAAGAGTCTTTCCCCTTCCTTCTTACAATCCCCTTTAGATACTGCAGCACCCCAGCTGAGGTTTCAATGACTTTATTCTTATTTACTGGAAGTTACTTGGAAGTACACCCTCCTTCAATTTAAAATTTGCCAGTAACTGAGATGCCATGATAAAAATGGGCAAATTTTTTTCCAATAACAAAGTTTTCTTCTTTTGTTATTAAAATTCTATAATTTCTATAATCAGTGAATATTAAGATGTTATAATTACAAAATAAACAAGAGAGTCAGGCAAAGCAGATTATGATAACAAAAAGAGAATAGATAGAAAGCTTACCCGTATCCTGGGCTCACTTACAAAACTCCAGCAGAGCAGATCTCCAGACGAGATCCTTCCCCACTGGTAGCCAGCTCTTAAACAGGTCTAGGAGGGCTGTAGCCTGGCTGCACCCCTTCCAGCAGCACAGCTGCATTGCCTTCACCTGTGCTCCTCTGCCTGACTCAGTGCTCACCTCAGGTGATCAATCAGAGGTTCAGGCCATGATTCAGCACTTCCCATACAATCATACACTCTAGTTTCTAATCTGAATTTGTCTAGTTTCAGATTCCAGATGCTGCAGTTTGTTTACCCTTTATTTTCTAGCAGAATTCTGATTCACACACTTATCTCCAGATAGACACACACTGAATGTTTGCTTTCTCCATCTGTTTATCTTATGAAATACTTAGCTTGTGAAGCCTAGTAAATACCTGAGACCCTGACTGGGAAAGCCCAGCATTCACATACGAAAGCAAAAAACCACCACATGTTTCTGATTGCTTCAGTCAACAAAGCTTTTCTTCCATCCTTGCTCTGACCATCCATACATCCTCTTGCACGCCCCAAGAAGTGGAAAAATGCTCTTCTCGCTGTCCTACTCCTCATAAGACGCAGTGGCCTGCTGCAGGTCTGCCTTGTCACCCCTCTTATGGCCTGGATCCTGTCATATCTTTGAGGCAGCACTCTTTCTATATCCTCCTACCTGTTCTGTCCTTAAGGCTGCTCTGTTTCCTGCTGCCCTCCACAACACTGCCTTTACAGTGTATCCCTCCCTGTTGCTGGACATACTGCTTTCCCAGCAGCAATAAGCCAACGCTGCCATTTAGTGATACCTCGACTGACTGAATGTTCCCAGTGAAGCCCATCACCCTACAGGACAACCTCTGTTTGCTGGCCCCACTGAAGAACAAGTAAGCCATACGTCATCCAGGAGCTTCCCCTCCACTCGAAGCTCCCACGATGCGATGCTGCCGTCGGAGTCATCAGCGTCAGATTTTGCAGGATTAAATGTGTTGGAGATATAAAGTCTCAGCTTCCGCTTTTGCTGTTGCACAAAAGGAGAGAAGGATATATCTAGGTTAAGTCCAGGTCTCACGGCAGCCACAGGAAAGACTTTCACTAGAGAATTTGCATGTATATGAATACGTTGTAAGCAGAGGAAGACAGGAGGCTGCAGATCCTGTACCTCTGGTCTCTAGTGATGTTTCAGTTTCATTCTCCTTTTGATTTCCAATGGCATTATCCCCATTCTTCTTTTTACCCTGGCAACTTCTTCTCTCCTCATATTTGCCCATATACAAGTAGGAACTGTGTCTGTTTCCTCCAGAATCTGACACATCATCACTAAGATAATATTTTGTAAGAGGTGATCTTGTTCACATCTGAATATTTTAGATGTCTTTCTTTCTCCTAGCTTTCAGTTTCCAGCTTCCTTGTACAGTCCACCTAAAACTGAGTTAATAACAATGACTAATTCCACTGTGAAATACACGAGATCTCTCCTTCATACTTTCCTGTTTCCCTCTGCTAAACCCTTAAGATATGTCTTTTTCTTGCAATTCACACACAAACCAGATGCAGTTTACATTTCAGGAATGGCCTCCTGCTGGTCCCTGTACTTTCCCTGCCCAGTCAAAGCCAGTCTGCATATCATGTGTTTCTCCTACACCGCTCTCTGATTTACTGTCCTTAATACTACACAGTGAGTTGCCTTTCTCCTCGCAGTAACCACTACAAGTCAGCCCTCTTCTGATACACTGACATCAGAAATTAAAACAATTAATAAAAATCCTAAGCAATGACTGTCTTTAAAGCTGCAGGTATTACTGACATCTGAGTATGGTGAAAGCTGAGCCTTTAATCTCTGCTAGAGGAAGACTTTATCCAAACTGATAAGCAAAACAGACTGTCTTTAGAGATTGATCCAAAAGGTACCAAGAAGTTATAGCACTATTAAGGCAGCGATTATCACCCATGAAACACACAGAAATATCCTTGCTCCTGACTCATAAGTACCTATGGAAACAGAGCAACTGCAGCAGGATTCCAGTACAAAAGGGGCTTTAAATCTTCAGAAAATTCTTCATCAGAAGCAGAATAAGAGAGCACAAAGAAAGAAAGCTCACATTTGTTGGAGTTTAAATATAACTTTTTTTAAAAGATCTGAAGTGTTTGTAAGCTGTTTTCTCTGCTAAATTGTCCTTGGTGATGCTTCATTTCTTTAGGCTTACCCTTAGTCCAGCAACTCTCAGTAACTTCTGGCTGTAGAAAACTCTGTAGGTTAATTTCTCAGGGAGACACAGAATTCTCTTTTTTTTTTTTTAAATCTCTAAGATCCAGCTTTGTGCCATTGCTTTCTCTCTCAAGTCTCCAAATTTCTGCTCGTGCTTCAGACTTCCTTCTTATTGAGGCAGTCTCCCATCCTTCCTGCCCCACCAACCCGCATTCCAGATGACACGTTCTCTCCCTTCACGCCCCTGCCCTCCCTATAACAGATCTACCAAGCCAAGCAACCCTTAGGACAATAGCAAATACCAGTCTCCCTTTCTGCAGCTGGGCCTCGATCCTTAAAAGCAGTTTATGGAGTTTACTGCCATCAGGTATCAGCCATCACAGTTGTCACAATCAGCAACTCTAGACCTGACCTGCAGAATACAGTCAGATCTGCCAGAGATACAGTGCACTGCAAGCACATTTTGCCTGCTCATGTTGAAAATCATAAGCCTTTTACCCAGTGGCTCAATTCAGCCCTAACTACTTACAAGCAGTATAGTATGGTAAGGCTGCTGGCACAATTTCAGATAGCATGTAATTATTCTGCTGGGAAGCCAATCAGGAACCCAGTAACACACTGGTGTGGCACCACTGCCAACGCAGTCCTCTCAATAACAACGCATAAGAATTCCCAGAAAGAAAAGCAACTGGGCCTGCTAGGACCAAACCCACGAATGCTCAGAAGGACGCAGCTCCATCCACAGCCTGCTGACTGAGGTGACCTCAAAGGTCAAGGGACTGCAAGATCCACGTACACGTGAAGGGTAAGGACAGTACGACAAACGCAACTGTAAGTCGACACTCCCAATCCATGATCGCCTACCAACCAGAGGACATACCTCTGCCCAGACTGATCTCCTCACACTAGGGAAGCTGTAAGCTATTTGGCTTTTTATTTTAATTGAAAATGTCACAAATGTCTCAACTAAAGATAAGATTTCTAAAAAGAAAAACTCAGTACATTGTTTGTTTAAATTGAAGCTGTCATAGATTCCGTTTCGCCTACAACATTTCTGCAAATGGCCTGCACAGACACTGCCCATGCAGAGATTTAAGATATCTTCTCAAAAGCGTCAGTAGTTCTCAATGGAGTACCCCACTGAGCCATGGGATCTCTGAGCTGGTAGCAACACAGAAGTCCACATCTCATGTGCCTGTACCACGTAGTGCCATACAGAAACTCATGAACACATAATTTAATAAACAAGGTCTTTGTCCTTCTTGACTTACAGAAATTTTGCTTCTCTACAACCTCTTTCTAATTTCAAACCTAACCATTACTTGGTCACCTTCCCACAGAATCACAGAAGGACTTGGGTTGGAATGGACCTTAAAGATCACAACCCCTCCTGCAGGCCCACCAGCTCAGGCTGCCCAAAGTCCATCCACAGCCTTGGACACCTCCATGGATGGAGCACCGACAGCTTTTTTTCCCCCACTTAGTCCACATCACATTAAGTACAAGATTTTTATTATCAAAATAATTAACCTTGCTTTTAACGATGTTCGAAATCAATTGACAACTATTTCATAGCAGAACTCCTTCATGCACAACACGCCTTCCAGAACTTTTTCTTCAGCATGACAATGTCTCCCAAATTAGAGTCATCAGCAAATTTCACCTCTGAATTTCAGAACTAGCCTCCCAAATTCTGACATTGAAGACAGCCGTGAAGACACTGCAAATCTTGGTCCCAAATTTTAAAGATTAAATAAACTGGCCTTAAGGCAGACCAACAATTACCATTCCAGTGGAACACCGTTATTCTCGATATTCCCTGCTTCAGCCAGTTACTCACCCAGGTGCAGCTTTTCTGACAGGGATGGGGTATATCCCATCAGAACCTCTCACAGACACCCTGGTGAAGCCCTTCCAAATTCCCCTCTATATTTGCACACACGAGGCACAAGACAATGACATCAGATAGATTCTGCCCGTGCACCAGAGTCTCAAGGTACAGATGGGAACGCTGAACAGCTAACAAGTATTAGAGCTGTCACTGCTCTCCGTCATCTTAATTTTTATTACTATTATTTTGCAATCCCTACCTCTTTCTCCTTAACTTCCCATCAGGAATCAATTAAAAACTTTGCTCAAACTGGGGTAAATGACACCTGCAGCATTTGTTGATTTAAATGAGTGCAGGCTTGATTCAAAGAGCTCAATGGCAGCAGGCAGAGTACGATGCAAAAATCTCGGCAAAGTATTTGTCCCCTAAGAGTATCTCTTGGATGCTCTAGATGTAGAGCCCAGCAGAAAGAACAATCTAAGTTCCTTAGAATGATTGACTGGCAAAGCTCAGATATGAAGTGCTGTGGACACAAGTCACTGGGAGCAGAAACAACTAAAACAACCAAAAAAACTTGCCAGAAAGAATGCTGAACAGCATAGAAACATCAGCATTTCATGAACACTGCAAGTTCCTTTCTGCCAACAACCTGATAACAATTCCTCAATCATCTCAAAACTTGAAAACAGGCAAATAATCTAAATCTACAAAACCAGGGAGAGGCAGTTAGACTCTGACTGTATTCAGACACGCAGGCTCTTTCTGAACGTAAAAACGGAGAACCTGGGAGTGAATTACTTAGTCTGAGGAACTGCAGCTTCGCACAAGTGCTGCGAACTTGTTGTAAACAGCTGCAGGACTGGAAGAATTGGCTGCTGGGGCTGCTGACCGTGGTGAAGCGAGCTGGCAGGTGGCTCATGCCTCCACCCTGCGCCCCAACCAGCCTCAGGGAGAATCGCGGCCGCCTTGCTTCTGAGTAACACCACAGATGTCACCCGCTTCAACAGCGCAGCTCTTCACAGCAGATGAAGGAAACAGAGACAGGCTCCGTGCACTCTATGCACTGCCTTCATTCAACAGCGTTTGAACCACCTCCCTCAAAACCTTCTCCAAAATAACCAGTCTTCCAACATGGAGAAAAACCCAAAGCCAACGTTAGGCTCCAAGTCTGTGGCTCTAAAGAGGCGGTGAAGCTTCCACCCTTCAAGATCTTCAGACCTCAGTGGGGCCTTGAGAAGGAAGTTGAACTAGATGCATTCCACTGCTCCACCTTAACCCAATGTTTTCTGTGATTCAGTGAAACAGCATTGGAAAACTGACAAAAGTATCATTTCAGTAGGAAAAAATGATGGGGAAGTGCTAACTTGATCTGGTAGAAATCCTAAAAAAATTCACTTATCCTTTTCTTACATGAATCATGCTTTTATAGGCATATTAAATTTTAAATATATGCATTTTAAATGCATGTATTTCTGTAAGATCTTTAGCATTTTTCCATGAGTAATTCTCCCCATCGTATGTTTTGTCATTCCACAGTTTTAGATTCTGACTGAAAACTAACATGGAACACCAAGTATTTCCTTGTTATACCACTCTAAACTCTTCCATTCCCCTTTCTAGTCATTCTAATACAAAGTTTTTCAAACAGAATTTCTTTTCATAAGCTATATTCCATTTATTAAAGACTTTCAGAAGTTATAGCTGGTAATACCCGCAAAATGTGCTCCACCATTTTTCCATACACATTGCTTCCCAGCTGCTTATTCTTAGGAGCTCCATGCAATTCATATCAAACTGCCTCTGTTAACAGGGCCTTTATGGAAAGTTCACTGCACCACATCGCTCCCCCTTACATCAGTCAAGCCTTTTTCTGACATACCTTCATTGGCCTCTTCAGCGCTTCCTGAATATCCACGCGCTTCCGCATAATGGTCTGGTCCAGTTTGCGTTCAAAAGCCAACAGATCCATGTAGGCCTGGGACTCAGGAACCAGCTCCCGGATCTGAGAAGGAAGGAAGGAACACCAAGCGTTGGAAGCAAGAACGCGCCGTGCCCAGAGCAGCAATGCTCTCTCAGCCACTGGACGGATGAGCTCAGAAGCTGTCAGCCCAGTGATGGTAAGTCTCTAGCGGGGCAGGTTTCAGCGGCAGAGCACAAGCACGACCAAAAAGCGGGAACGTGGAATTAGAGCTGATGAACTTTGGAGCCACAAGGCTGGAGCCACTGACGAATTTTTCAAGTGAGCCTTAGCTACAAGTAGCCAGGGAGCCACAGTTCTTGGAAATGCACAGTACTTCAAATTTGTCCTGCTTAAGCTAAGAAGGTTCTCTCTACACTGAAAATAGAAGATTAGGTATTTGTGTTGTTTTAATAAAAGCAAGTAATATTCAAGCACTGCTTAGCGGGGCACGGAGCATCTCCTTTATGAGGAAAGAGAGCTAGAACTGCTCAGCCTGGAGAGGAGAAGACCTGGGGGGGGGGAGGGGGAGAGACAAGCGAGGTGGACTCCCTACGACCAAGTGCCACTAGTTTGAACAGATTTTCTGCACTGCAGAATTTTTAATATAAAATATTAAATATTTAATGGCCAGTAGTCCAGATGATGAGGCCAGGCTCTTTTCGGTGGTGCCCAGCAACAGGACAAGAGGCAGCGGGTACAAACTGGAACACGGGCAGTTCCACAGGAGCACGAGGAAAAGCTTTTTTACTTTGAGTGTTAAATAGCACTGGAAAAAGCTGCCCAGAGGGGTGGGAGAGTCTCCTTCACTGGAGATATTCTGAGTCCACCTGGCTGCAGGGAACCTGCTTTAGTAGGGGAGCTGGACTGGCAGATCCCTTCCAATTCCCACAGTTCTGGGATCCCACGATCAGTCAAAATTGCAATTTAGGAAGGCACCACTGTTACCATATCTTCTCGGCTAACATGAAACTGACCTAAATGTTTAAGTTTTGATATGACCAGAGATGCAGAGTTAACTTAAGTTCTTGCTAAATTTTTCTGGTATTTAATATATTAGCTAAGCCATATTAACTGTAAGAAGAAAATCCCTTTTTATTCACCTTATTCCAGAAAGGTTAGCAGAGAATGTGATAGAAGTAGGTTAGGAGGAAGAAAGAGACAGAAGTCTCCTACTCAGTACAAGAGACACCTGGTCATCCTGCAGAGAGTCCAGTGAAGAACCACGAAGGTGACAAAGTGACAGGAGCACCCTGCAAGGAGAGGTTGAGAGAACTGGGACTATTCAGTCTGGAGAAGAGAAAGATCAGGGGGATTTCATCAATGTCTGTAAAAACCTGAAGGAAGGGTGCAAAGAGGATGGAGACAGGCTTTTCTCAGTAGGGGGTGCAAAGATGATGGAGACAGGCTTTTCTCAGTAGGGGGTGCAAAGAGGATGGAGACAGGCTTTTCTCAGTAGGGTACCCAGCGACAGGACGAGAGGCAATCGGCACAACCTGGAATACAGGATTCTCACTGAACACCAGCAAACACTTTACAGTAAGAGTAACCAAGCACTGGCCACAGGTTTGTCATAGATACTGTGGAGATGCTTCTCCTTCTCTGAGGTGTTCAGAAGCTATGCTGACACGGCTCTGGGTAAGCTGTTCTCAGAGCTCCTGCTTGAACAGGGGAAGGAGTTGGACCTGATGACCTCCGAGGTCCCTTCTAACCCGAACCATTCCGCGATTTATTTGTGTGTAATGAGCAAGTACTTAAGATCTGAGTCTCAAAATAGACACACATACCCTCGCAAGAAAAGGTCAGTTCTCAATTAGGAATAACTTAAGCAAGCAAACCACAAAAAAAGGAAACTCTAATTAAGTATAAAAATACTCTACTGGACTGCCATGTCAATTTTTATAATACTCCAGCTTTCAGCTACGTAATTAAAATATTCAACTGTTAAAGTTATCTGTTCTATAAGAATTAAGAGCAAATTGGTATTCCTGTTTTGCTTTAAGATGAGAAGTCTGCAGTCTGAATTTCATTTAAGACACAAGCATGTATGTGAGAAATACCTGGCAAAGAAAAACATGCCAAGGCAAGAGAGCTTCCCAAGTGTGGGTACAACTTTGTGCATACTGTGTACAAAACTATTTCACTTCACAAGACAAAACTCCAGGCTTCTTCTGGATCAAGATCAGTCATTTTTCTTTCATATGAAGGGCTACTAACGACAACTGATCCATGATGTTGACATGCTGGCATCAAACCTTCAAGTAGTGGGGAAACGACTCACAGCGCTGGCCATAACTGGCATCTGTTCACTCGCCTGTTGGTATTAGGGAGCCTAACAGGTTCCCAGTAAAATCATCCTGTTTTATGGTCATATCTTGTGCATACACATCTTAACTATGTGTTGCAAGGACATCAGCACTACTGCACCGAGTCATCCCAGGTATCAGTCTCTCCCAGCACTGAATCCCTGACAGCATTTGAAAGTTGATGCCCTTTATCAGCTACAATAGCTGAAGGTATGGTGTTTCAGAACAACTAGGGACAGTCTGCAAACTGATCCATTTTGTTCACTTGGAACCTGCCATCTGTTTGTCTCATTTGAAGTCGTCTTCTTGTAAGGTTGGAGCAGCAGTGGACAGGATCTCCCTAAGCACCTTCTCCATGTTGCTCATACATTTTTCAGAGGTTAATAGTTTGCTCTCATCCCTTTCATTTCCAGGATGAACAATCACTCCATACTGTATTTACACCGATGAAGACTATCAGATGAATGTCTCTTTCAATATTATTTATTTGTTCGTTCCTTCTGAGATGCTAGAACACCTGTACTATTTGCAGCAAGATCAATTCTTTTGAAAAGCAGAAACCACGGAGCCAAAGAAATGCTTTGCTTTTACTCCATGAAATTCTGTTCAGCTTTAGCTGAATCACTACGTTTTTAGCTGCTCGTATTCTACTCAGTCTTACTATCAACTGAATAATCATAGAACCATAGAACCACCAAGGTTGGGAAAGGCCCACAGGATCACCCAGTCCAACCACCAAATAATAAAAGAACAGGAATATTTTTAGGAGCAAAGCACAAAGAGCAAGCATCGCTCTGAAAGCATCAAAGAGTTGGCAGACAGCTTGCAGGATAAAGACAAGGCAATATTTCCTCCCCACAGCGAATATAAACCTTGACATATGAGAAAATACCCCCATGCCACTATCTTGTCCCACAGAGAGCAAAGGCTTCCTCAGCTTCCTTCAACACAGAGCAAAGGAATCATGCTGTACTGTGTTGTTTAAAGAACTCTGGACACGGTTTCAGGCTTCCACCTGTGAGTCACAGCACAGTCAGTTCCTGAACTCCAGGCACAGGATGAAGCAGGGAGCGCCCACACAGCCCTGCAGCTCAAGCACGCGCTACAGCTGCCATACAGCTCCTCACACTGGTTCTCAAACTACTACAGACAGGACATAATGGAATTGCTAATATGTGCATGGAAACAACAGTCATCAGTAAGTATTTCTATTCCACATTTTTACATCTCTTACCATGTGAAAGGGAAAAGTCATTTCCTATTCCATCGACGACCATCGTTTAAGAAAGCACACACTCCAAAATTAGCCAACAAAGACAATACTGCATGTAATTCCCTGGATGCAAGTGGCAGCAGGTTAAAAAACTGTTTGGGAGAAGAATTATATGTACTCTCCTGTTGTATGATCAATGAAAATAAAAATGCTACAATCAAGAAACAAACAAGAGAGCTTGACAAAGCAGATTGCAATAACAAAAAGAGAACAGATACAAAGCAGATACAAAGCTTACCCATATCCTGGGCTCACTGCAGAACCCAGCAGAGGGGATCTCCAGCAGAGATCCTCCCCCGCCGGCAGTCAGCTCTTAAATGGGCCTGGGAGGGGGGCAGCCGGGCTCCAGCCCTCCTGCAGCAGTGAATCGCCTTCACCTGTGCCCCAGGGCCGACCCAGCGCCGGCCTCAGGTGGTCCATCAGGGGTTCAGGCCGCGGTTCCGCAGTGCCCTCACACCTGTGCTGTGCCTCTCCTGCAGTGCGCAGCGCAGGGAAGGCAGGGTGCTGAGCTAAAACAAAGGTTCACCCGGCTCAGTTTTGACCGCTCTTATGGTCTTTTTCAATCTAGTACTGGAATATTTTGGTGGAAGCACGGTGATGATCCAAGCCCGTACCCTGTCCAATTTTACCTCAAGAATGAGAGAATAATCGAAGGTAAGCCCCAGGAGCAGCACATCACAAAGAATAATTCGATTTGTTTCTCTAATGTAATTGCTTAAAAAAAGAAAGATACTTTTGAACTGCGACCAGCAGTACATAATTCATCTTTCTGTTTTCTTCATAGGTAGCTGAAGCTCAGTTATCTTGGTGTATCTGCGGTAAGGATCTGCACAACCTACAGATTTTCTTCTTGCATTTCCCCTAACTGAAAAGCTCATAGCTTTTCGTGCAAGCTTTCTCTCTTGTACGAGAGTTTTAAGTATGAACGTGTGAAGAGTACTTCAAGACCTGAATTATCTACTCTGGTCTTTTTCTATTTCAAGAAGCTACAAAAATTACCTAGCAGTAGGAACTCGTCATCTGATAGTCTGAAGCATGTATGCTAAATCCTCTCTTATAATTACATGGATAACTGGAACAAATTAGCACTAACATTAGTAAGGTAGGGTTTTTCTAGGGGCTGAGGATCTTTTTCTTTCTATTGTGAAAATTCAAATATTTCAAAAATTTTAAAATAATAAGAACACATTATTAATCTCTGCACTTTTATCCTTCATTCCCATGGACTTATTTTATATTGACGGCTGCCAAATAGCGCAAAAAAGAATTGTGGTGATGAGGACAGTGAGCAGGACCAGCATAACGAGGAAGGCTCACAACTTCCTTGTAAAGGCAGCACAGTGTGCGTGTGCTTGTCAACAAATACACACAGCTTGTGAAACAAGCAGATGGAATCCAAAGTCAGCAGTGCTCGAATCCAGTACAAATCCAGTTGCAGCACTACTGTTTCTTGGATAAACAAAACA